TGTCTGTGACTCATCCTTTAAACTCCTGCAAAGTGCCTTGTTATTGCGACACTGTAGTACCCTGTAGGGCCCATCGAAGACAGGGGCTAATTTGGGCATAGGAGAGTTTGTGGATTTTATGCTCCTAAAGACTAGTGCACCGACTTCAATTGCCTTAATCCTTGCTATCTTATGTTGGTTTGCAATTATCTTATCCCTGGATAAAGTCAACTTTTCCTTGGCTTTCTGTTGTCTGATAAGTAGTGTCTTGGCATAGTTGTCATCATAGTTGGGGTCTGGCTTTGCATCCAAGAGCTCGTAAGGGAGTCTTTTGTCCGTACCGAATAGCAGGAAATGAGGGATGTCACCGAGTGAAGAATGATAATTGCAGTTAATAGCTGATTGTACAATGGGTAAGTAGAGGTCCCAGTCATCATCATGGTCAGTAATCATAGTTCTCATTAAGTTTAAGATGGTCTTGTTCAGTCTCTCTGTAATACCATTGGCCTGAGGTCGGTATGGGAGGATATTAACTTTCTTGACATTCATTAAGCTGCATAACTGTGAGAGGATCTTATTACAGAATTCTGTTCCATTATCGCTGCTGAGCTGCTGGGGGGATTGGTATCTGCATATAATATTGTTATAGAAGGCTCTAGTAATGGTGTGAGCTGACTTGTCCGGTACAGGAACAAGCTCACAGTATCTGCTGAAGTTATCAATGAAAACTAGAATGTATTTGTTGCCCCTGGGGGATGGTATAAATCCTGAAAGGGTATCGCAAGATACCTTCTGGAAGGGGAAGTCAGGGATATCATACAATAATGCAGGAGCAGGCTGATGGGTTGAGCCCTTGTATAATGGCCAGACACGACAACTCTTAACATGTCGCAAAACTCTCTGGAACAACCCGGGAAAATAGAATCTTGATCTAGCACGCTGAATGGCTTTGGCAGCCCCAGCGTGAGCTGCCTCCAATGACTCATGGGAATACTTAAGAATGAGGGGGACAAGGCACTCAGGGACTACTAACTGTCTATAACTAATCTTTGTCTTTATTCCTTTCCTCCTGGGCGTCGACAATCTAAAGAGAAGGCCAGACTCGTCCATGTAAAAATCATTAACCGGAAGATGGGCTCTTGGGGGTAAAGGGGTACTGGGGTTAGCTTCTAGGCTTTTGATGATGTCCTTATACAAGCTGTCACTTCTCTGCTTTTCTTTTATGTCATTGATATCTAGAGCATCCAGGGGTGGGCAGTTATCAGAGAACAGGGAGTACACAGGTGCTCGAGATAAGGCATCTGCAACCTTATTACAAGGGCCAGGGGTATACACAATCGAGGGGTTGAACTCTAGTAAGGTATCCAAATACCTGGTCAATCTACCATGAGGGTCCTTGCAAGACATGATATGGGTCAGTGGCTGATGGTCCGTTCTTACTTCTATATCATAGCCTAGAATTAATTCTCGAAAATGTTTGAGTGACCATATAATGCTTAGCAGTTCCTTGTCAGATGTCGAATAACGCTTCTCGGCAATATTTAAGATTCGACTTGCAAAAGCAATGGGCTTTAGCTTTCCCTCGAATTCTTGCATGAGTGCAGAGCCAATGCCAACATTAGAGGCGTCAGTTGCTAATATGAAGGGCTTGGAAAAATCCGGGAATGCTAATACTGGCGACTTAATTAACTTAGATTTCAGGGATTGAAATGCAAAGTCCTGATCCTTGCCCCAAACAAATTCGGAGTCTTTTTTAAGTAGCCGGGAAAGAGGGCTTGCAATGGAGCCAAAATGGGGTATGAAGGGTCTGTAAAACCCTGCTAAGCCTAAGAAGCTCTTAATCTGGTGTTGATCCTTAGGGACAGGGAAGTTACTTATGCTCTTTACCTTATCATCATTAGGGGAGATTCCTGCTGAAGTTACGGTATGACCCAGAAATTCAAGGGAAGAGGCGAAAAAACGGCACTTCTGAGGGTTAATGGTCAGTCCAGCTTCACATAGTCTACTAAAAATCTTCCGGAGTTTTACTTCGTGCTCGACAACATCCTTTGACACCACCAATAGGTCGTCCAGATAAATGAGTACGTCATTTCCAACAAGACCACTCATGACAAGGGACATTAATCGTGCAAAACTCAATGGGGCGTTTCTTAGGCCAAAAGGCATTCTTGTGAATTCCCAGTGTCCAGAAGGGGTGGAGAAAGCAGTAAACTTTTGGGAATCAGGGTGCATGGGTAACTGATGAAATCCCTTAGCTAAGTCGAGAGTCGAGAATTCTTTGTTGTTAGTACCAATGTCTTGTAATAACAGTCGAAGGGAGGGAATGGGAAATGGTTCAGGAATAGTTAACTTGTTTAGTCGTCTGTAGTCAATAACTGGTCTCATTGTTCCATCTTTCTTGGGTACCAGTAACATTGGAGCGGACCAGGGTGAGGTACTTGGGGTTATTATACCTTGATCGAGTAATTCAGCGGTAGCCTTGTCAAGAGCAGAGCGGCGGCTATGAGGGATGCGATAACTT